CCATACGAGATGTACCAAATGGTTTGACGATACGGGCACATCGTCTAAACCTACTCCAATCACTGTGTTGCGGCATTTGATACCGCTACAGTCAACTGCGCGGCGGCATACGATCGTCACACCTCATTTATTAGTCAAGCTTTGCAATATGAAAATTTGTAAACATATAAATTTTTTCAACATTCGTTGACCTCAGAATATTCCGATAGTTTTGTTCTGATTGCCTACAGCGGTGTGACCAAAGGTTGTGCGTCGAGGCTAAAGGACTGCGGGTCGTGGCTAAAGCATTGCGGGTTTTGGCTAAAGGAATGTAGGTCAAGACTAAAGGATTGCGGGTTTTGGCTAAAGGATTATGGGCTTGGCTAAAGGGTTGCGGGTCGAGGCTAAAGAATTGTGGGCTTTGGCTAAAGCTTGATGGGAAAAGGTGTAGTTGAATATGGAAATACCGAAAATCACGTTCTCAGTCGATCTGTATCTTGATCACAGCAATCGAGGTATTCTTCTTCTTGCGTACGTGAAAAGCACGTCTTTGATGCACTAATTGTTAGGATTGAAGTATAACATTTCTTTCGATTCCCTCACCCTCACGTTGGACTACCGATCGTGGATGGATAACTGATAGAACGCCCATTTTAGTGTGGATGACATACGTAAATCAATAGGAATTCTCGTTTGAGGATTCATTCTACAGGTTCACGAGCATCACTCCGTCATTCTTGCAAGCGGGTGACTTAGATCTATTAGTTCATGAAATCAAAACATAACCTCGATGCAGTCAGCGCTTGAAATGGTTTGAACGGTGATAGAAATGAAGCTGAAGAAATGAAGTTGTTCGTTTCCCCATGGTGTCTTCACACCACAAATTACGCATCCATACCTGACAGGAATGAAACGGTGGACGCATCGAGGATATAAGTGTGATTGGTGTTCTGCTTTACGGTCATAGGGTGGTGAAATCACACATCTGACGTTTGGTGAGTTGGTGAGACAACTGATTGGTTAGCCTGATTGTACTCTCCACTCCCATCCCCACAATGCCCTGACGACCTAAACAGTGCAAAACATGGTAACGAAAACGTTGAATGGTAACAATACGGTAAGAAATAGAAATCTCGAATGAAAAAGGGTACTAGCGGTTGTGGTTGAAAGCTAAGGAGCATCAAATAAAACATATATTTGATTGAAGTAAAGGCGTAATTAATACCTCCAGTAACCCAATGTGAAAGCATCATCAAGCAACTCATGGGTGTGAGGCAATCAAATGCGAAAA